CCCCTCCCCTAAGCCCCTCCTAGCCCTTTTCTGAGTTTTCTCCCTCCGCCACTAAAACACTACTCCTCAAAAATTCAAAACAAACTACTTTATTTATATGCATAGTGTATATATATATATATATATTCTATAGTAATAAGAATTAGACCGGATATCGAATTGGCAGAGGAACGGGTCACCAGTTTAACCGTTTGATTAATTGGACAAATTAGTTGTATCACACAATATAAAAAGATAATTAATAATAATGAATAACTAAACAAATGATTACTATAATAGACCTAGCATGTTTTTTAATTTGAACAAAAAGATGGTCCAATTCATAGAGATGAAAGTTTCAAATGCAAATGGGATCCCATTCCACCTGGAGTCGCCATCAGAATCAAAACGTCAAAGCTAAAAGTTTGTTCTTGTCATCTACGTGGACGGCAACATGGGCTTCAACTGTAAACGGAAGCCGGTCAAAACATTTTTAATCAGAACCGGTTAATTTGGACTAGTTCAAATCGTCCTGTTTCTCCAGCTTTTATGAAAACCATCTGGTTTGGTCGGTTTTGTGACAGGCTAATTACATAAACGATCTGATTCATAAACTGGCCTGGCTTGGACAATGATTTCTTGGGTTGACCCGTGGGTCAACTCAGTTCTGATAACACTGGTATGTTAACTTTAGAGTACCTTATCTTCATGTCACCATTGTAAAAACCTATAGAATACTAGTTGCAAAGTATGTATAACTGAATTATTGTGGTTAAAAAATTGAAATTTAAATGTGTTATTATGATTAAAAAATTAAAATTTAAATGAATTATTGTAGTTAAAAAATTAAAATCTAATTCGATTTAATTTCAATTTATAAAAATACAAGTTGACAGGTCTGTTTTATTAATATAGATTATAGTTAGCAAGTTAAATTTTTAATTTATAAAAATACAATAGCAGTTAAGATTAATATAATTTTTTTCTACTTTATTCAATGGCATAAAATTCATCCAAAAAAAAAATTATGCTAAAAAATATCATATTTTCTACATGCTCGCCAATGTCAAAAAAACTCAATCAACAATTAACACCTTCCTCAATACCAAACATTTTTATCAATTCACACATATATTTCTTTTCTCTCTGTTCACTTTAATTTTAAATTACATAATTAAAAAAATTGTTATTTAATACATAAAAAATATTGCAAAGTTAATATTCAATTATTAGTATTACAACCTGGTTCCAAATATGGGATTATTCTAGTCGATAAATAAATAAGGTCATGAGGTTATACAATTGGATTACTGATGCAGGGAAGTAGAATGAAATATGAGTTTAATGAATGAAATGAAAATAATAAAACTATACCATTGATTTGCGCATAAATACTGGTTTAAAATTCTTCTTTAGAGTTGTTGATTCACAAGAATACTAATTCGAAAGGTTGCAATGATTTGTTGATTCCTAAGAATACCATAATAATTGAAAAAAATAAGAGAACACTATCTCAATATTATTAATTCTTATTCTTTCGCTCTCTCTCTCCTTTTATTTTTCTCACCATAACTCTTTCTCCTTCTTTCACTTTCTCTCATCTATTTTTTTTCTCTCTCTCTTTGTTACTCTCTCTATCTCTCTACTATTTTTTCTCTCTCCCATTAATAATTTTTTTTTTCAAATATGTAAAGATTTGATTTGTTTTTTTCATTTCTCTCTTCTATTTTCTCTTTCTTTATTCTCTCGCTCTGTCTTTATATTAACATTATAACAATATAATTAAACCAATCAGTTACAATTGTACTATGATACACAAAACAGTTACTCATGTGTTTTGATAAACCAAACAGTTATGCCAAACAATTATACAAAATTATAACATTAACACAATTTGTCTTTCAGTTGTTTACATAAACCAAAAAATTACATCATTTAGCATCACGACATGGTTACAACAATTATATACATAAAATTTGGTATAATGAAATTTTTTTTTGTACAATGATGAACCCAATTTGGTGTATATAATTAATGTAACCATGTCATGATACTAAATAGTGTAACTCTTTGATTTATGTAAACAATTGAATGACAAATTAGATTGGTGTTATAATTTCGTATAATTATTTATAGTGTAACTGTTTAGTTTGTTAGAATACATGAGCAATTGTTTTGGGTATTATAGGATAATTATAACTAATTGATATAACTGTGTTGTTGTAACGTTGATATAAATAGAGAGGGAGAAAAAGAGTCCTGGTGAGAGAGAGAGAGAGAGAAAGAGAATTAGGGAGCTAGAGAGATGAAAAATCAAAACAAAATTTTACATATTTGAAAGGAAAATAAATTATCAATGAGAGAGGAGAAAGTAATGGGGGGAGAGAGAGATACATAGATAGATAGAGAGACTGAGACACCAATGGAGAGAGAGAATGAGAGAAAGAGTAATGAAGTAATGAATGACCTTTTAATCTTTTTCCAAAAAATACACATAGAGTTCGTTTGGTTGCAATATTAAAAATGGATGAATTAGATAAAATTATATAGTCTAATACAATACAAATGAATAAAAGACAAGATTAAATATTGTATTAGAATAATAAGTAATTTTATTTAGTATTTGACAATATACAATATAAGTGTTGGATAGTAATTATTTAATTCAATCGGTTGTTTGGTTAGAGAATTATTTAATCATATTAATGTTGAATTAACAAAAAAAAATTCTAAATCAGTGTTTGCTGCATTGGTGACAATTTAATTTTATCACTTGATGGATTATATAGTAAATATGTAGAATAATATATTTGAGTTATATTATAATACCACATCTTTTGGTGGTATTAAAATGCATCTGCAATATAAGTTTATTGTACAAAAAATATATGATTAATATACGTTTTTTAAATTAATATGGTATCAAATTTGTTTCCTAAAGAACGTATTAAGTTCGATTAAATAAAAAATAATACAATCCAACATTTAAACTCCTCGTAATACGTCTACCAAACGAGCCAAATAAGTTTTCTTAATGTAGTTTAGCTCAATTAAGTCTAATTTTTTGTATCGATTTCTAAATTTTTTTTTAATAATTAAGATAGACAATAAAATTCAAATACATGACCTCCTAATCTAATACCACAATAAACGACCTTCTCCTTCAACAACGCATACTCCAACAGCTTACTTTGTTTAACAATTAGCTTTTGGTTTGTTGAGTTTGAAATATTCTTGCCCTTTGAATATAGCTTCCGGCCTGCTGGATCCAAGCCATTTTTAAGAAGAGAGTTTGTGGCAAATCTCCTTGGCTGCACCGCCAACCCTGATTTTGCTTGGTCCCTCGTCACCGAATGGTAGTTGCTTCTCATCCACATTGTCCTTATGTACATGGCCAGTTGCTAGATCAAATTAATTGCCATTTAAATTTTTTTCTTGCACTATTTGTTGAACGAAGCTTACTAGCACGCGTTCATATGATACTAATTATTACGTGCACATTTTTTAGTAAAATATAAATAAAATAAAATATAGAATTGAGATAAATACTAAAATTAGCTAACAAAATATTCGGATAAATACTAAAATTAAAAGCACGGTACATATACTTTGTCATCTATATTAATTTGACAATTTCAAACATCACAAAACTTGAATTAGTCACTCTTAATATTATGGGCGAGAACTACTCATATCTCATCCTTGATTAGATAGAACTTAGTGGTTCGGTTTGACTTTTGATAACGCAAAGATCTCAAGTTCAATCTTTTTACATATCTCCTAAGGATTAACCACTCTTGTCTATTAAGGGACATACTCTAATTTAACTCAAGTCATAGTGACCAACCGTTGAGTTTGAGAAAATAATCAACAAAAAAATAAAAAAAATTCTTAATGACATCCACCTTGATGTTTGTATCTTGACGATTCAGATTCAATTACAGAAAGAAACTAAAAATCCTTTGAGGATCCTACCAATACAATCATCCAACAAATTAAATATCCTTTGAAGATCCTACAAATACAATCATCCAACTCTGGAATTAAAAGAAAGAAACTAAACATCCGGATCCCACAAATACAATCATCCAACTCTGGAGTAGAAAGTTTCAAATGTAAATTGATCTCGGCAGTCCCTCGGTTCCAACGTCGAGAAAGGGGACCATCTTGTATTTGGTTCTGAATCAACGTTGCTAGTGTACTTTTGCTGTAAAACAAACAAGGGCTCAATAGAGTCTAATGAGAGCGAGGACCAACTTGTATATGCTGGATTTCACTTAAACGTACTTGAATATTTCACTCTCCCATGAGTTTCTTTTTGCATTTTAATTCAGAGCAATGCTATTTAGATTTGAAAATTTAATTTAATTTATTGATTTAATTTATTATAACATTTGAATTGATTATAATATTTATAAAATATATTAAAATTTACTCTTGATTTAATAGTTGTAATAAAACTACATCATCTTGTCAAAAAATTACGTTAATCCTTTAGGTCTAAATAGCATTCCTCTTTCCTCGAAATCCGACTTCAACTCAAGATTTCATGAAATTATCATATTTTAAATCATAGTTTTAAAGAGATGATATCATGAAAATTATTCCCCAGAATCGTCATCTGTCTGCCTTTGCCAACAAATACGACTCGTGCCTCGGATGACCCGATGCCTATCGCTGCCCAATACCAGAAAGGAACAATCTCTCTCTCTCTCTCTCTCTCTCTCTCTCTCTCTCTTGACATGGGTACTCCAGTTAACGTGCCCAGATGGACCCCCAGACCTAGACCAACAAGCACACATGATCCAGAAATGGATAGCTTTGTTTCTGAAGAAAATGATATTTCATTCGGGAACATGAACAACACCGTCCCCTTTAGCACTGCTGTTTCTCCTACTCTTCCTCACACTGATTTACGGGTTCACCCAGAGCTCAAAACATCTTTAGAAATGGAACAAGCACAGGTATTTGGAGAATCAAAACAGAAAGAGAATACCATTTCATGCGATTCAGAGGGTAATATTGGCATTTTCTTGACGTGGAAGGAGTTGTGGGTGACGGTGCCGGAGAAGAAAGGTGAATGCCGGCCGATTCTGCAAGGGCTCACCGGCTACGTCAAGCCCGGTGAGGTCCTAGCAGTGATGGGCCCTTCCGGCTGCGGAAAGTCTACTCTTCTCGATGCGTTAGCAGGTATTTATTATACTTTTACTCAGTTTTATTGAATACTAAAATAGTCGTTGTACAGAGAAAATGGAGAGGGATGGCATTGTACAACGAACTCTATGTTTATGTGCATTGGAAGGAAATTGGTAAAAAATCTAGCTTATTAATCAATTATAAAAACTATTAGCAACTTTAAAAGACATTGTATTTGAGTGTATGATTGAATTAAAATATACTAAGAAAAAGTATTTTGTATCTTTTTGCTCAAATTTTGTTTAGGCAAAATTAAAATGATTTTACTACTTCAATAATTTTGTCTCCGATCTTTCAATTTTTTTCGGTATCGACTAGTGAATTATTTTTAATTATATTTTACCTTTCCACATTCAAATTCCTGACTCTACCCTTGGTGAAATGTAATGGAGACCATCTGGAGTAGGTGAAACTTACTAATCTAACGTGGTAGTAATGAAATTTGAAAATTATTAGTAATTATGGAATTTGGTGGGATTCATTTGCTCAAGTTTTAAACAATTGGTTGATAATTTTACCATTGAATGTTTTTTTTTTACTTTATGTATAAGATTTTCTGATAAAGATGATAATTTTTTTAATAATTCTTTAGATTTTTAAACTTGGACAGGAAAGGCTTTTTTTTTTTTTTTAGGATAATGAATGTTTTTAGCTTTTAAATAAACGGTGTGTTCATATGATTGTTTAGTTTTTGGGAAAATTACATTCACTTCCCTTAAGGTTTGTCGAAATTACAACGAGACCCCCTCATGTATGAATAGTGGCACTGATCTCCCATGTCAGTGACATTCATTTTGATTCTGTAACAGATCGATGAAATCGATTTGAAGCCTCCTGTATGCGTTTTATATATCACTTTAGTCCTCACCTTTTAATGTATCATTTTGATCTCTCAAATTTTTAATTTTTTTTCTTTTGATAAATTCAAAATTTTAATTTATGTTATTTTAGTTCCATCGAAAACGACGGTTCAAATTGACTAACACATGTGTCTCATGTGATCTCACGTCACCTTGGTACTCAAAACATGTAATTTATGATAATGTAGTCTTTTAAATTTTTGTTTTGTTTTACTTTAATCCCTTGAATATTTTAAAAAAAGGCTTTTCAAGTGTGGCCTGATGGGTCAAGTCCAATAGCTCAACTCGTGTTATAAGTCTAGTCTGAATTAATGGCCTAACTCCAAGAAATTCAGTAAGTTCAGCTCAATGTAGTCCACACTCGGTCAAATTTATCAGGTTCAAGGAACTACATCAGCAGGGAACATGCATGGTTATCCAAGAGCCTCATCCATGCTACCTTGAAAAGAGTCAACCCCACATTATCCTTTAACCGAGTCCTATGGAGAGCACGTTAACTGTCTCGCCTGTTAAGAAGAGATTGTCAGCTTCACCAGATTAGTCATTTAGTTTCTATTAAGTCGCTTCAATCTGTTATGAGGCGACTATAAATTGTAAGCCCCCGCTAACACTTAGGGGACAGATCACACTCAATCGAGCACAACTCTCCTCTCCTTCTCAAACCTTGTAACTCTATGTTCTCTCTACACACTTGAAGTAATAAAATATTCGGTGACCTTAGCCATTTAAAGTGGATGTAGGTCACCGAATTACTATAAACATTGTCTTGTTTGTGTCTCTCTTAATTATTGCATTTATTACTGCTCATCACTGCATGTATTACTATTCATCTGACATGTGGTATACAAATATAATTTGTGCATCATCATGGTCTGTTAATCAATTTAAACCTTTTTCAGTTGGATTAGTGTGACATAAATTAGAAACTTAAAAGACTGAATTGTCAAATAAATATAAGCAGGAACATGCACAACTTCCTAGTGAAAGGGTAACTGAAAAAATTATGCTGTACCAAGAGCATTTTGAAAATGCCAAATTCTGTCTGCACTTTGCAGAATAAGTATTGTCTGTGTTCATCTGTTTTAAATTGACTTAATTAATTACATTTCCATCCTATTCTCTTATCTCTATTCTGCCGTCGCCCCTAACCTTTTTGATTTGTTTAGTAGCATTAGAGAGAAAAGAATAAAAAAAATAAGGTTGGTAAATAGAAAAATAGTGGGAAGTTGAGGAAGATTGTTGAATAATTAACAGAATCAAAATGACCAAAAAAGGAAATATGGAGAGAATGATTCGAAAGAGCTCTTCCTAACAATTAGTTGATTCTTGTATAGATATAGATGGTCAAAAACAACGTGTACAAGCAATATAAGTTTAATGGTTTGTTTTCATCTGTTTCATTACCTTTTACTTTTTTTTTTTTTTTTCACGAATTATGAATATTCCTGATATGATGTGTGCGCATTTGCAGGGAGGCTAGATTCAAACACGAGACAGAATGGAGAGATCCTAATCAATGGCCATAAACAAACACTAGCTTTTGGCACTTCAGTAAGCTAAATTAATAATATTCTTTTTGATTGTCAGATCCTTTCTATTCAACTTAATGCCTGAATCCCTAAAAAATTGTCATATACACCAATTACCTATGTAGAGCGCCACACATGCATGCATGCATGTAAACTATGTGAGTCCATGTCAAAAAACAAATGATTTGCATCCCCTCATATCTGTGGATGAAATTGAGGAGAAGCGCATTACCGAAGATGTGAGTATGAAAAAGAGTTAATTGTACTGATAGTCCTTGAAGTTTATCGCTTATTACACTTTGGTTTTTAAACTTCTAATTTTTTTAATTTCGTCTTCAATGTTTAGACATTGATCTACCTTGACTCTTACCCCTAACTTCCGTTTAAAAAACTAGCCCGAGCCATGAGGCTATTAAGGGACACTTTCGTTATGTTAGGATACACAGTGACATTCTCTCTCTCTCTTTACTGCGTCCCTACCCCCAAACCCAACACAGTTCTCCCTCGCTCTCTCCAAACACATCAGCCCTTTGAAAACCTTTACACAAAACCACAAATACACATCCACAACACAACACACATAGTCATACTCACAAACGCACAAATGCACAAACCCAACAACTATCTTTGAGCTCTGCGAGAGAGAGATCCACAAACGCACCAAACCTAGCAATTGTATCTCTCTCTCGCTGCACACAAAACACAATCACACACACCACCAATACTGCCACTAATCCACAGCCTACTAATCAAATTTTTATCCAAATTAAAAACAAATACGCATCAAAAATCCCAAATAGAATGATAAACGAAATCAAAATCAAAATTTAAAACATAAATCGAAATCAAGTTTGAATTCAAAATCGAAATC